CGGATAACCCAAAAAATAGGTCCCCATATATCTATTACTCATAATGAAAACTGCAAGGACACATTTTTTTTTTCGAAAAGAATTATAAATCAGTTGTGTCATCTTAAAATAATTATGAATTTATGAACTTTTTTATAAATTTAATTATTAAAATTTGTAAAGTTCACCACTAATTTGATTTTTTTTTTCAAACTTATATTAAATTGTTATTCCCTCCCTTTTTTTTTTCTCCTATCCTATCTGCTTCTCTTTTTGTTATTACATATTGACCCTTCTTTTATCCTATTTTTACTTCTTTACCCAAAAAAAGAACTGCTAAGGTCAACTGCCACAACATTTCAGGTGGTTAGTGGGCTGGTGCATGATTATTGGCAAGCCCTGTCTAATGTGAAGGTGTGTTGCAGAGATGTGAAATGGGAGTGCTTCAAATTGAATTTTGATGGAGTGTTTAGGCATCTTAGGGCAGGTGGAGTGGGTGTCATTGTGCGCGATGATAAGGGTGAGGTCCTATGAAGCACGGATACTTCAAAAAGGGTGACGTATCCGTATCGGATACTTATCGGATACCGATACTCCTCGGATACTCGCGGATACGTATCAGATACTTCTTAAAAGTATCGGATACTTCTTAATTAATTTTTTATTAATTTTGAAGTATCGGATATTTAATTTTGAAGTATCGGATACTCGAAGTTACATATTACTTATAATATTTTGTTTAGTTCTTTCATAAGAGGAATATAGTGAGAGCTTAAGTAATAGAATTTGTCAAATTGATGTATCCTTGTTGTCTCTCTCACTTCTCTCTCGCTTTCTCACTCTCTCACGTTTCTTCTCTCTGCTCTCATTCTTTTTTTGGTGTTGGCATGTAAGGATGATGTTTAATTTGTATTTGCTTTTGCTTTTAGTTTTGAATGTTTTATGAATGTTTGAGCAATTTTAGGTTAATAGGAATCCCTCTCTTTATTTATTAATTTACTTTAAGTTTTATTTTCATGCATATTACATTATTAAAATCACACAAAAAAAAATAATTATGAATGTATCCCCGCTGTACCCGTATCATACTTTTTCAAATTTTGACATATCGCCATATCCACATCCCCATATCACCATATTCGTATCCGTGCTTCCTAGGCTATCATTGATGACTTAAAAAAGTATATTTGCTGAAATTTTTATTTAAGAATGGTTTTTTGGCTTTGGCTTTGGCTTTGGCTTTAGCTAAGGTCTTGTGATATTCACTGATGAAGGGGAACAAGTTGAAGCTATTGACCTTGAAGCCTCTTAGTTTTGTAGGAATCTTTCTTCTTTATCAAGTTGTCTTTTGCTTTAAGTTTTATTTTTATGCATACTGCATTACTAAAAATTGTTAAAATAATATTTTTTACGAACGTATCCCCGCCGTACCCGTATCCTAGTTTTTCAAATTTTGTCGTATCGCCGTATCGTATCGTATCCGTATCCGTATCCCGTATCCGTATCCGTGCTTCCTAGGTGAGGTCATTTTGCAGCGTTATCAAAACGCATCCCTTACTGAAATGAGGCTGATTGTATTGAAGCTATTGCGGCTGATATTAGGATTAGCCAATTTGCATTTGGAGGAGGGTGATTCACTTAGGCTTCATTTGATTCACCGAATGAGTGATAATTAAATAGAATGATCAATTTTTTAAAGTTTTCATATAAAATGATTATTCTTTTAAAATGGTGAATGATAATTCTATTTATAACGTATTTTCTCATTATTTTGTTAATCAACCAAATGTGAAAATTAATATTTTGATAGAATGATGATTTCATTTTGTTTTATTCCAGCAAATTAAATACTATCTTACTGTTATAATAAAGGCTTGTTTGGGTTTGGGCTAAGGTCAAGAGAGGTGATCTCTTCATTCTTCAAATGGGCCAACCCTTTACCTAAATCTTGCCACAAAGAATTCAAATTGTGAGATGGACATGGTTGAATAACTGAAGTTGTGCCCTGTGGAAGCGAAAGAAACTTCTCTCGGGTGCAAAGCAGCCGAATGCTGTTTATCTTGAGAATTTAGAGACCAAATCAAATCATAAAAATCTTGGAATTTAATAGTGTGAAGTTTAAATTGATAAAATTAAAAATTTATTTTTTAATTTATCATTGAGATAAAACATCAAGTTTTTTTTCTTCTTTTTTATAGATTTCGAGAAAAAAAAAAAAAAAAAAGAATCCCCGCAATTTAAGTAGGGGTGAGCACGATTTGGTTTAGTATGATCTACAATTCTATAAAATTTGAAATTAAATCAAATCATGAAAATCTTGAAACTTAATTAAATCGAACCAAAAAAATATAGTTCAGTTCAGTTTGGAACCACAATTTTCAGAAATTTTGTTATCATTCGTAACATAATCACAACTTGCTCAAAAATAAAGTAATATATCATCATTTTACAAACTGTCTAAATGATTGCTTAGGATCAGTTATACTATTATTCAAATACATTTGTAAGTGTTAACAAACTTTTATGCATATATATATATATATGATACTAATAAAATACTTGAGTATCTACCATAAATAAAAATTATATATATATTAATGGTTCAGTTCAGTTTTAAACTAGAACCATAATTATAAAATTACGGACCAAACCGTGAGGTTCGAATAACTTATTTTAAAAACCAGAACCAAATCATGTATTGAGAAAACCAAACCAAATAGTGCAGTTTCATCTAAATCGAATCCGTTTGTGATTTTTTGATTTTTTTGCTCAGCCCTAAATTAAAGTCACATGGCATGAATTAGGAGATTTGGCCTCGTGGTTATGTAGCACCACTCTATGGAGTAAGTCCAAATCCTATAGAAAACAGTTTGATATTCTTTGTAGTGCTTATTTTTCTGCCATTATTAGGTTGTATAAAGTTATTTATTTCTTTTTAAATTTGGGCTAAATTTTCCATGGTAACTGTGACGGAAAAAATATGAGTCTAGATCCAGGTCCACTTACATCAGCCAAAAAAGAGGAAAGGCCCAAAATTGGCTCCTTAAGCCCATAAAGGACTGTTGGATACAGATATAGGTTCGTGAACAGTTAAGTGCGAAGATAGTCATTGGATTGAGCTTCAATCCAACAAATAAGAATACATATTAAGAAACCTAGAGATGTAGGCTCGGCCTGGTTGAAGGTAAAGCCGTCTGATCAAACTCATCTTATGGCTATGATGCCCAGCAAGTTGGTTGCTAAGCATTTGACGTGATCTTAGCCATCCATGCGGTAAGGTTCTAACAATCAAGGATAAAAGCAACTTACCAATTGGTCTGGTCATTGCCACACGAAGGCTGAACCCTTTGATCAAAAGATAAATAAACGAACAAGATTTAAACCAAATAACTATAAAATGATAAACAGGTAAAGCACAAAGGATAGGCCAAGATAACCCAAGAAACCCATTTAATACTGTCAATACAAATTTCTCATAATGGCCAATCAGTATATTGACTTAATCATCGGAGGGTCCTCCCGATTAACCCTGACATTTGGTTTCTCTTTGCAGAGATAAAATAAGGGACACGTCATCTCACTTTCCTTGTAAATATAATTTCATCTTCTATAGTTACTATTGGGCGTGATAACTGTTGATTTTATACTATTATCAAACTTTAGTGGTTTAGTTTAATATAATACTTCTCATATATGTAATTACCGTTGGACCAAAAAAAAAACACAAAAATCACGTGGCATGATTCACGTGAGTATTGTGAGGGTAGAGGGTTGTCTCTAGTTGGTTTCTCAACTGGAGAATGTTGTTAGGTCTCTGTGGGCTCATCGTAGAGCCCATATTGATGATCTGAACCGTTCAATTTGTAGAGCTCACCGAGTACTTTATCTTTACAAAAAAAATATGTTAATCGGACATCAATATACACTTGATCAGATCATATTTGCGTTAACAATTTATTTTAAAAATCATACTTACTGTTGACACAAATATGATATGATCAAATGGCTATCAATATCCAATTAACGTGATTTTTTGCATGAATGAAGTATTCAACGAGCTTTACATATTGCATGGTTGGAATTATTGATGTAGGCTCAATAGTGGACCCATAGAAGCCCAATAGTACCCTCCATTTCAATAGACTAAAGAGAAGTCTATCCCTATTGTGAGCATAGAATGCAGGGGAGCCATCTCTTTATATGTTGGTCATATATGCAGTGGAAAGTGTGTTATTAAGAAAAATCTATAATGTGCACCTTATAACTTTACACAAAAAATATAACATTGTATAACTTAAAAAAATTATTACAAATTTTGTGCAAAAAGACAGAAAAATCGTAGCTTCTCTCACAATATATATAATACATCTCACAAAAAGTACAACATTCAAATTTTGACAATTTTTTTTGAAGACTCAAAAATCGTAATTTTGTCCACAAAATGTATAACACCACTTACAAAAAGTATATCATTTAAATTTTCGCAACTTTTCTTCGAAGATACAAAACCGTAATTTCGGTCACAAAATGTATAAAACCACTCACAAAAGGAATAACATTTAAATTTTTCACAACTTTTCTTTGAAAACACAAAAAATCGTAATTTCGCTCACAAAATATATAACACCACTCAAAAAAGGTATAACATTCAAGATTTTCACAATTTTTCTTTAAAAACACAAAAAATCGTAACGTCGCTCACAAAATGTATAATACTACTCACAAAAAGTATAACATTTTCGCTCACAAAATATATAACACCACTCACAAAAGGTATGATAGTAAGGTGCATATGATATACAACTTTAAGTAGGTGTACATGGTAACTGGACCCTTAGTATTATGGCTTAAAAACAGCTATCACGTATGCACAACACTTCACTTCAACAGGGGCACTTCAACAGGGGGCCATGGCCCCTCATCGTCTCCCCATAGTTCTGTGAATATGATGATATAAAATTATTTAATAAACCCCTCACTGTCTCCCCATAGTTCCTTGCCATGTAAGCAATATCATATGATATTCTAAAATTATTTAATAAATTTTCAAACAGTAGTTGGCAATTTGACAACATCCAACACCCTTATAGCAAGTAATTAAGACGTTCCCAAAAAAGCGAGGCACATATTGGGGAAGAGCGCAACAAAAGACACATAGCTATAGCACATCACTCAAACAGGTGGCTTTCACAACCTGCAGAACAACCAAAACAGAGCACATGGATTGAAATTTAGATTGTCATATCATGCGAGTTACCATAATGACTAAATAATTAAATTTAGTCTTACATTCTGAACATATGAATTAAGATTTGACTCTTTTAACTCCATCAAGACAGTGAATAAAATCAGAAACCGAGTAATCCTTGATCATGGCCTTGGATTTAACACACTAGGAAACTCAAACTAAATCAGACAATTTCATCCAAATGAGTGTGATGTGAGGTATCATCGAAGATTAGATCATTTCTTGAAGTCTAAAGAGTCCATAGAATGGCAAAAGGAAATGATTTCCCTGATCAGTCTTTCAATTAGAATCAACAATAATGTTTTGGATTAATTACAACTTAGAATCGCTACACTTTCATCTGAATCTCACTCTGGTCTCTTTATTTTTAATTGTGACAGTTGACCCCTACACTTTAACTAAAGTTGTAATGTGACCCTTCCGGTAATCCACCATTAGTGAGGTTGACGAAAATTCAAAATGAGGGACCAAAGTGAGATTTTAGTGAGAGTATAAGGACTGAAGTGAGATATTGATGAAAATATATGAATGCTAATGAGATGAAAAAAAATGTCACGTTTAGCTCATATGACAAGATCCGTTAGTGTAGGGATGCTAAATGATTAACTCTAGTATTTCTTTTCACTTCAAGGATGCAAATTTGACAATGAAATTTTATTGATGAGGTCTTCTTACCAACTCATAGTGCAACTGTGTTTGCACTTCTTCTCCCTCCATGCATTCCAACAAGAATGTTTCTGATCAAATGCAACTCAACTACAACATCACTCATATCCATCCTTTCACTTGGTGATTCTACTGAACAAGAAATACCAATTTTGAATATCGAAATCAAGCACTTTCGAATTGTCTCTCTGCTAACATGGTTTTGACTATGCGTGTCGTTTGTGTTTGTGCTTGTCTCTCCTTCTTGTTCAAGAAGTGTTGGATCAGCAATTTCTTCCACCGTTTTTGGCATAGCCATTTTAGCAAATTTATGAAGGCTTAGGTTGTCCTTAAACATCTTATGGGTAGGTTTTATTCCGGTGAACATTTCCAACAAGAGGATGCCATAGCTGTACACATCGCCATATGTCGACACCTCACATCCCATTCCATACTCTGCAATTCAAAAATCAAGCAGTGTACTTAATTTAGAATATCTTACTAAGCAACCACAAGAACACAAAATAAAAAAATGTGCAAATTACAAAAACACCCCCTGAGATTAACTTAAATTACAAATTACCTCCTGTGGTTCTACAAATTACATTCTAAGGTTTCTAATTTCATAACAAATAAACCTTTTTATTAATAAATCATCAAGTTAATTAATAGTTTTTAATTACGTTAAAATTTTATTTCAATTAATAATTCAGATTTTTATTTTTGTATAGAAGAACAGTTAGAAATTTCAATTTTTCAGTTAATTCTGTTAAATAAAAAATTTTCACAGGGAGGTATTAGTAATTTTCCAAACTATAGGGGCAATTTGCATTTTAAGCAAATCTCAGAGGGTGCATTTGTAATTTACCCAATAAAATAAATATATATTTGATAAATATTTTGTATATGGTTTGAATTTAGAAAACAAATAACAATGGCTGTTTGTTTGTATCAATATGTCAACAAAAAATTGTATGGATATTCAAAGCACTTGAAAAGGAGTATATCACAGAGTAGAAAACTCCAATGGTTTAAAGAACAGAAAACAAAATAAATTAATTAATTAAAACACTGATATGATGGGGTGGATGACTCAGGTTAACCAGAAACTCCAATTGTGTCAAAATAGCAGTATATCACAAAGATTTGTTTTGTTTTTTATTCTTTACGTTTTGTTTCATGAAAATAGGTGTAAATTGTGTCAAAATAGCAGCATATCACAATGTGTGTGTGTTTCAATTTTATTTTATTTTTTTGGTTGCTCTTTGTTTGTTTGTTTGTTTTTTCATGTTATGTTACATGAAAATAGTAGTGAAACTGGGAACAGAAAGGAAAGGAAATTATTGCAAGGGCCTAATTACCTGGAGCAACATAGCCAATAGATCCTCTAATTCCAATGGAGCTCGTGCCTTCATTTCCAAATAAGTTACTAGTTCCTTGTATAGCGAATCTTGCTAACCCAAAGTCACCAACGTGCGCGGTCATTTCATCCTCCAGAAGAACATTGCTTGGCTTGAGGTCACAATGTACTACTGGCGTTTGACAACCATTATGAAGATAATCCACTGCACATGCAACATCAATGGCGATATTTAGCCTTTGAAGAAGATTTAACTTCTTCATTGGCTCTACATTTGCCTCAACATCCCAAGCATTTACATGCAACCACTCCTCTAGATTCCCATTCGACACAAACTTGTAAACCAAAGCCTTGAACTCATTTCCTTTGTAATCAACACTCGAACACACTGTTAGTACTTTCACCAGATTCCGGTGCTTAATATTCCTCAAGGCCTCACATTCAGCTATGAAGCTCTTTGATGCATTAGGACGATGAAGGTTAAGAACCTTCACAGCAATTACTGTTCCATTTTGGGAATCAAGAATTCCTTTGTAAACAGACCCCGAACTACCCGAACCAATCAAATTGGTCGAAGAGAATCCATTGGTTGCTTTAAGGAGAGTTTGGTAAGACACCTTCAAAAGCGAACTTTCTTGTGATATTGATGGTGGCCTTGTTCTTCTTTTTCGAAACCAACCAAACAGTAGCAAACAAAGAGAGAGTCCCATAAGTCCAGAGACAGTAAAAATTATAATTTTCACAGTCAAACTCAATCTTCTCTTTGTAGACCCTTTAAGGTTGCATACAGGAAGTTCTAGTTCAAGAACACCACCACAAAGCATATTGTTTCCGATCACTGATACAGCGCTTGCATTCTTAAAGACACCTTGTGTTGGTACAGAACCCTCAAAGTCATTATAAGATAGATTAAGAGTTTGCAAGAACTTCATGTCCTCCAAATAATCCGGAATTTCACCCGACAAATTGTTGCGAGAAAGGTCTAGAAACTGAATCCCTCTCAAAGAACTCAAAGATGAAGGAATTGTCCCCTGAAAGAAGTTGCCCTGCATATACAGTGTTTCCAATCGTACACAGCTACCGAGACTGCTAAGGATTTTGCCCGCAAACATGTTGTCTGAAACATCCAATTGCTCAAGATTGATCAAATTTCCGAATTCCATAGGCAAGGAACCGGTTAAATTGTTTTGGGATAGGTTCAAAACAGCTAGTGTTGTGATACTAACAACTTCCTTGGGTAACACACCACTCAATTTGTTTTGAGCAAGTCCTAATCTTACTAAATTTTGACAGTTTCCTAAACTTGAAGGAATGTCGCCTTGAAGATCATTTTTCCCAAGATGGAAGCCGATTAACATACTTAAATTTCCTAGAGAGGAAGGAATGTTTCCGAGTAATTTGTTACTAAACATGCTCAATACTTTCAGATTCTGAAGATTTCCAATATCATCAGGAATGTTTCCTCCAAATTGGTTGCCCCGCAAATCTAGGGTCTCCAAGTTAATGAGATTCCCTATCCCAGTTGGGATGCTTCCAAACATCCGATTATTGGCCAGTGACAACCTCAAAAGCCTAGTTGAGAAGTTGCTAATTGAATTTGGTAACACCCCTCCTAAATTGTTGCCATCCATAGACACCTCTTCTAATTCAGTTGCATTGGTCAAAGAGGAGAGCAAATCCGAGTCATCGGCTTCACCAGTTCCAAGATCATTGAGGGACATGATTATATGGTGAAGTTTAGGCAGCCCTTCAAGGGTAGGCAATTTTCCAGAAAAATTATTAACAGAAATCATAATATTCAACAGACTTGAGGCATTGGTTATTGACACCGGAATGGGCCCACTTAATCGGTTGAAACGGATAGCGAGAGTCTGAAGTTTTGGGAGATAGATCCCAAAATCCTGGGGAAGACTCCCCTGGATGTTATTGTATGAGGCATGAAATTCTTTGAGGTTAGTAAGGTTGAAAATGGAGGCAGGGATGGTATTGGACAAGTTGTTGTAACCTAATCCAATGAATGTAAGGTATGTTAGGTGTCCTAAAGTTTCAGGGATGGCCCCACCAAGATTATTATAAGATGCCCTTAAGTCATTAAATGAAGATAAGTTCCCTAAAGAAGAAGGTATACCTCCAGTGAAGTTGTTTTTGTCCAAGTACAGGGCTTGGAGGTTTGACAAGAGGCCAAGCTGGACTGGAATGTTTCCAACAAGCATGTTGATTGCGAAATTGATGCGAACAAGGCTAGAACAAGCGGATATATTGACAGGAATTTGTCCAGTGATCGAGTTGTTATGCAGGCGTAAAATCTGCAGCCTTTGCAAATTTCCAATTTCTGGGGGGATTTCATCAGTGAAACTGTTATTGTAGAGTTGTAGAACTGTAAGAAAGCTTAGATTTCCAATATGGGGCGATATGGAACCCGCTAGGTTTTGGGACTGGAGGTCGAGCATGGTGACTCTGTCAGCACTGCAGGTGACACCGTGCCACTGGCAGAAGTGGATGGACTCATTCCATGAGGTTAGAATGCCCAGGGGATCATCAGTGACTTTGGATTTGAAATCAAGGAGTGCTAATCTGTCTGTTTCATTTCCTGCTTGAGCAAACGCAAGCAAATTGGTGAAGCAGCAAACAAGAACGATGATAAAAGGAAGTTGCATTTTAGTTGAGAAAGGTCTTCAAAGATTGCCACAACAACCATGCACCAACTATAAATTAAATTCACAATAGAGTAGTTAGTGTTAGTATTTATGATGAGATTCATACTACCGAAAAGGGGCAAGAGGAAGTTTCGGAGAACAGAATGTGGCTGATCATTCCTCAAAGACTGCTATGAATAAGAAAACAGAACAAAACAAAACAAGAAAGTGAAGAAAATCAATGAAAATAAAGTAGTGGCAGAGTCAGCATCACGGCAGGTGGATTTCATGACATGATAAGACGACTGTACATTACAATTATCAAAAAAAATCAAAGAGCAGTTAACGAATGGGAAGTTCTCAGAATATACACGTTATAAAATTATGTAACGTAAGTTGATCGATTAAAATTTAAGAAATCATAACTTACGTATATTTGTGATAATTTATGTGATTTTGTAAGGTAACTTATATTATATATTTGTAAACACTTACACAAATGCATATGGTTTGTACACTCAAACATTTTCAAGAATGTTTTTTTTTTTTTTTTTTATATTATATATATAGAATTCTTATTTGGATTAACTCGTTTGGTGCTGACCATTTTTGTCCAAATACTTGCAACATAATCTGCATTGTGGGAGCGGCGGCGGCTTGAGAATAAAAAAATGAGTAAACTATTTTATCTCCTAAAAACAAGTTATGTGTGGCTTAGTTACTTTTATATTTTTAGTCAAAACACTTATCTGACATTAATGATATGATTAAATTAAGATAAAATTAAAACAAAAAATTAAAAGATAAATTATGAACAAAATTGACGTGATTGAAATTAGATAGACTAAATATTAAGGAATTGATTTAGTAGATGAAATACTTTCTTATTAAGAAGTTTTTACTATTGCGAGTGCATCCAAATTTATACACAGAAAAATACAAAAATTGTTGATTTAATTTTTTAAAAAAATATTATAGATCAGAATTTTCTTTCTTATGTTAGGCCACAAATGAAAAAAAAAAAAAAAAAAGGTCGTTTTGCAAGTGGATTTCATGCAAATTAATGAATTTTTATATAGGAATTCATGGGAAAGAAAATGAAGTACAAATTAAACTTTTTATTTGTTGACTGAGTTAAGAAAACCATAGGATGTTTATTCACGCAAGTCGAGATTGTTTGACCACATAAGGTTGCCATGACTTGGGTCCTCCATTAGCTTTTTCTCTTGCTTTGAAAAATGTGAACAATTGAGTGTCAAAAAAAAAAAAGTGTGAACGTGAGACCTGTGAACATTGATATTAGCTAGGAAGTTTGTTCACATTAGGATGAGGATCCAATTGAGAAGAGGATGTAAAAAGATAATAATGGTTATCAAAGAAAAGAATGTAAGAGCGATTATATGTGTTGGGGTCGTGGGTTACTGGTTTAATTAAAAAGAAAAAGTCATATCACATAATAATAAGACTTAATGGCACAAGGAGGAGAATGTCAAGGGTAGGTTAATTTTATTTTAATCTCTTAAATTATCATTATTTTTTAAACTATTAATTTATGTATTTTGATTCCTAAATTTTTTAATTTGAGTTAATGTTACCTAATTGAAAAGAGTCAGCCAAGTTAAAATCCAATTTGATTGACAAAAAGATTACTTCAAAATGTAAACTATTTTAAACCCTACAAATAAGCACTTCAAATTTTTTTTGTTTATTAATTTAAAGGATAAATTACAAATACACTCCTTATATTTGCTTAAAATATAGATTGTCCTATATTATTCTGAAAATTAGATCACGCCCTTCAAGTTTTTAATTGCATAACAAATGACCTATTTTATTAATAAATCATCAAGTCAATTAACTATTTTTAATGACATTAAAAATATATTTCAATTCATAATTCAGGTAATTTTATAATTGTATAAGAGAGGTTAGAAATTTCATTTTTTCTATTAATTCTTTTAAATATTTTTTTTTTTAGAAGACAATATTTATAATTTCTATAACTACAAGGGCATGTGCTATCTTTTTTTAGAGTAAAATTATAAATTTATTAAACTCGGTGAGTTAAATTCAATCAATTCAGTGATTATCTTTTGTCAAAAACACTAATGACATTTTCAATTAGCCGAAATTAACACAAAATTTTAAATTAAAGGTCAAAATTGAACTAATTGAAAGTGGAGGGACCAAAATGACTCAAGAAAAAAAAAATGTAGAGACTACCATGTAAATTATCATTTTAAAAAAGTCACTAATTGTCAATTTTTAGTGACAAATTTAATTAAGTCGCTAATTATTAATTTTTAGAACTTTTTGGTCTATACAAATATTTGTTGGACTTAATAATTATTGGGTAGTCCAGGAGTACGACCACATGATACTCCATAATAATATGATTAGTGAAAAATGTGAGGTATTAATTGTTTGTATTACATGATTAAGAAATATGAAAGAATATAATAAATAGTAATTGATAAGAAAATGTGAACACGTAGCCCTCCAAAACTATTGTATAATTTTCCCTTAATGGTGTCCTTGTAAGAGAACCTGTGAGTAATTAACTCAATTAAAGAACCTATAACCAAACATGGCCTCTTAACTCACTTGAAGCCCATATGTCAAATTCACAATGAAAAAAAAAAAGTGATGGGTTAGGGCTAAATTAACCCCAAACCCAACCCAATCCAATGTATAGAACCCAAAAAACAATAATATATCAATTTGATATGTGGACTCAAAGCACTAGAGCAAAACAACCATGCTAGAGATAGCCAAAAAAAAAATTTGTCAAATATTTCATGAGTGTAAGGTATATATGGGGTCTATATGATATGGATCTCACACCTATATAAGGTATTTTAGTAAAAAATTTAGATCTCTTCAAAACAAAATACAAGTTAATATCATCAACTTTTGTTTCACTTTTACAATGAATCTAATTATTTGATATGTAATTGGAAAAGTTTTACATCGACCTTAGTTTTATTTTTTGATCACAATAAATCCCTCCAAAGCCAAGTTACATTGTATTCACTCCTGCAAGATAAATCGTGAATACTAGCAACTAGTCACAAAGTCACAAATATTATGTAGTCAAGGTGTTAGTTAAGGGTTATTTTAGGTATGATTTATTTTTTTATTTTTTTATTTATTATAAAAAGATACACTACAAGAAATCAATTTTTTAAGGATAAATTTATTTTGTACCTAAAAATGTAATATTTGTTGGGAAAAACTTTAGCCAACTAATTTCCTCCATCGCAAAATTTGTCCTAAATGACCCGTCCAGAAAAATCAAAAAATGACTTTTAGAGATAATTTTGCATTTGTCGCTATAAATAAACTTTTAGAGACAAAAATATGTGATTGCAAAAAGTTCTAATTTTGAGACAACCAAAATTTGTCTCTAAAAGTCTAATTATAGTTAAAAGTTTAGTTTTTGAGACAAATGAAAGTAGTCTCTAAAAGTTTTAGTTTTTAAGACAAATGAAAATGGTATGTAAAGGCTATAATTTTTTTCAGACAACTAAAATTGGTCTCTAAAAGTTTTTTTTTTTTTTTTTTTTTTTGCTTTTTGATTTTATTGGCTTTTTGATTTTATAACAATTACTCTAAAAATACTAGTATGAACATCAACGTATATTCCTTTCTTGATTTCTCAACAACCAAACATAAAATATCAAACATATCACCAGACCATATGTTAGTCTCTAAATTAAAATTCAATTACACGAGAAAAAAAAAAAAAAAATGTTCGTCACATTCAAAGAGGCTTAATCAAAAGATATTTCAATAACAAACAAATGCCATGCTCTGACTCATTAGTATGTAATATCTTGATTGCATATGATAAAATGATAGAGATTTCAAAAGTATCATTTTCAATTTATAGGGTTAGTGCCATAAGCATTGTTTGTAGCATTCAACTATTCAATGAACATATTGTGATTGGAGTTATATCTACCTATATAACAAAACAACTCAACTTATCGCATCTTCTTTTCAATGGCTTCGTTGAAATGGCATTCAAAATCTAGCAGAGAGCTCACAAGCTTCAAATCGATGCAAGCTTGCACGACCTGCATAGAATAGGCCAAACTCTCAAATAGATTACCAATTGTAGTATCTGTAGCAATCACACATAAATCTTAGTACACAAAGCCGTCCAAAATTCACTATCAATATTCAAGAGTTAACAGAGATTAAACTAAATCAACTTGCTACAAAAATTTAAAAATAATTACTCCAAGATAGACAAAAATTTAAAAATAATTACTCCAAGATAGACACAGTTTACATCAATGTTGTGAAAACAAGATGATGAATGGTTACCTTGCATGGTTCATAGTTGAGCTCAACATTGTTTAATTTGCTTCCATTCAACATTGGTCTCTTGACTCTCACTAAGTTATGTTTAACAATTTGCCCCAACAGTGTAATGTCTTGAAAGTTCACTTTGTCATTTTTTATATTAGTGTGGGATTAACATAAAGTGAAAGAAACAATAATAATTTTCATCACCAATTTAGCGCTATGAAAGGTCAGTGTCCCATATTTCAGATTATGCAAACTTGATCACAAATAGATTACTAGTATATAGAATAGAAGTTGCACAGGTAAACATCTCAAAATGAACAATTATGCATCTTATCTTCCTGATTTCTCAATTTGTTTTATATAATTCATAGTCAATCATAAGAAATTAAGCAAAAATAGAGGGTAGCACTCAAGATAAGATGGCAAGGCAAACCTACATGTTTTATGTAACTTATTCAATACTGTTTTAAATATGAAGGAAAACCATGTTGATCTATCCTACCTGTTCTGTAGCTTTGCTCTTAAAAGGCCCATATAAAGCTGAGACGATCTTATAAGATTCAGCAATATGAGCTTCAAGATCAGCAATAGAAGGCATAAACACCGTATGATCATTTTCTCGATGCTTTATAGGACAAGGCTGGCCCTGATTTGATAAGCGAATGATATGCAGGAGAACATGAGCCAGTAATACAAGATAAATTCATCTTAAACACAATTATACCAAATTCCTGGCAGAATAACACCAAGAAACCAAAATCTCACATGGAAAGCTGCTTTCAATTAATCAAAATATTTATTTAATATGCTATTAGTTAAAATTGATCACAACTTGTATGTTTCTAATGTCGCAACACTATTCCAGGCTAATAACCATGCAAACATCATTTACCTGAAAAGGCATTGCAGGTATATCCGGTAGTCAGCGTGAACTCCTTCCTCATGGAAATGGAGAAGTGGATTATGAAGCAAAGCAAAAACTAAGCGAGGTAAAGGCTGCAGTTGTGGGCATTGCGAGAATGCGACATCAATGTGAGAAGTTGTTGAATTTCCATGCTCATACTAAACAACTTTACAAGCATCATTATACAGAGCTGTGAGGATTACAAGCCAATCATGTAACAACATCCTGCCTTCCCAAACTCCTTTCTCCAACGATGCTGATATGACCTGGAGAGTGAATGTTATGGTGAAGCAACAAGTTATTAGAATGTATAGAAGCATCACAAGCTAAGATTCTAAGCATTTGTTCTTGATAAACATTCATGCTTTCCAAAAAACTAAACCACTCTCTTATAATTTTGTCAGAGAAAGTTCAATCAAACCAAGGAACAAATGAAATAATAAAACCTGTAATCACTCAACCAAAAACTCAGTTAATCCATTGTAAAAAGACCACCTTCCATAGAATTGACAAATCAGATAATCAATTGTTAAATAATGAACTTAATATTCTACACAAATTTTTTGATAAACATTTATGCTTTCCAAGGAATAAACCTCTCATTTTGTCAGAGAAAGTTCTCTCAAACCATGGAACAAATAACATAATAAACTTGTAATCAGTTAACTAAAACCTCATCTAATCCACTGCAAAAAGGTAGCCTTCCATGAACTGATTGAGGAATCAGATAAGGCTATATGCAAAGAACCTGTTTGCATAGTGTCTTTTACAGTTTACACTTGTCACTTCAGAAGTTGAGATTAAGTTGATGTTTTTCAGTCTTCTGCTTCGGAATTTTCTTTGTCAAGAAGTTTCTTCAAAACTCAAACAAAGGCAACCTCACACATTCTCTCGCTATATACATGTGCTTATTATGTATGTGGCATGAATTCCGTAGTACTAAGAAAGTGAAAGAAATGGAGCATATGGCCCCTGACGAACACATGCTGGATCCTTCCCCCATTGTTTCGAGTAGCAATTTAGGGGAAACTACTGGTAATGACAACGCTGATGTCAGAGAAGACGGAAAACCTAGATCTTTCAAACAAGTGCTACTCAATGCTCGACAAAATGAAAATGCGTTTGATAGTGACCTTGAGAACCTCTCCTCTGATGATGACCTCTTGAGCGATGGTGAAGGGGATGAGGAAATCGAAATTCAAGAAGAGTGGGAACAGATGAACCCCGATATCCCTAAGGTAACGTTCCCAAGAACCTTGATTCGAAAAATCAGGCGACCATGGAAGGATTGCCTCATCGTGAGGCTTTTGAGCAGAAATATAGGGTTCAAGGTACTTAGTAACAGAGTTCGAAACCTGTGGGGTCTCCAAGGAGATTTCGAGGTGGTGGATCTGGGATTGGGGTTCTTCTTGTTTAAATTTGAAATGAAGCAAGACTATGGGAAAGTGGTCTCTGAAGGCCCTCGGATTTAACTGGATCATTACCTTACTGTACGCAAATGGGAAGCAGATTTCAAACCATCTGCAGCAAAAGAAAGCTCAACAGCAGTTTGGGTGCGCTTTCCCCAACTTCCAATCGAGTACTATAATGAGAAAGTGCTCTTCCAAATTGCTAAACTCATGGGCAAACCACTGAAAGTTGATCTAAACACCGCTACATCGACCAGAGGTTGCTATGCTCGAGTTTGTGTGGAAATCGATCTAAGCCAACCTTTGAAGTCAAAATTTGCAATTGGTAAGTATATTTACACTATTGAATATGAACATCTTCATTTATTTTGTTCCTCGTGGCAGGGTTGGACATCGAGCTGATGTATGTAAACTCTCTCCGACGACGGCAACAACTGGTCAGACAAGGATTCCGCTGACACACGAGGGAGACAACACCCAATCCAACATGCAAACTAACGGGCTGGAGGCTCAACACAATGATAAGAGATCTACTGGGTCTGATACTGGTAATGGGTCAACTAAATTTGGGCCATGGATGCTAGTAGCTAGGAAACCCAATAGAAATATACAAGGAAGAAAGCCCATTACAGGAGCTGGGCCAAAGGGCAGTAACCGATTTGGGCCACTTGTAAAAGACACAAACTCTGAAGGTATGGAAGGTCAAATGGGTGGTTTCAGGTATACTCAAGGGTTACCCAACAGAAGAGTTCAAGAAAGTCAAGGTCAAAATTCACAAAAAAATTTAGGCCCAGCTCGAGCAACTTACCAACCCACTACTGTCTCAGATTCATCCAACATAGAAAAGGTTGTAATGCTAGCAGATTCCACTAGTGCTAAGCAGGTCAGCGAAGACAGCTGGTGGGATAGACAATGCAGGAACCTGCTCCTCTGCAAAGCCTGATGCCATGGAGATCTCCAAATCTCCGACTTCTATTCCTACTCTGGGACAGCACCCCTACTCTTCACAGCCTAATCCTAATCCCTCTTTTGCCTCATCTCAACCCCAACCCCTCTTTCCTTTCTTGACTAATCTGAAAGAAAAACCTCCTGACCCAATATCTCTTCATCCTCCTTCACTCTCCAATGGAGATCCCAGAGATTGTTCATCATCGGATGAACTACAATCATGTGAGCCTATCACTCAAACCCGAAAGAGAAGCAATTCACCTAGCCGCCATAGATTGGTGGATCGAGGGAGCTTGGCTACAAGTAGAACTGAACTGGAAGAATCTCACGGGGCACTTACAACACCTGGTGAGGCTGGCTCCGATGAGAGCAACAGTGGACGATTACCGCAGGGTTAACATCCTTATGGGTCAGCCGGACTACCAAACACCACCAGATTTTCCCAATAGGGAATCCATGAAGTTGCTTTTTTGGAATTGCCGGGGAGCCGGCAACAACACCTTCAAGAGAAATTTGACTGAAATCCTGAGGACTCACAAGCCTGCTATTTTAGTTCTTATGGAAACAAAAGTATCCTTGAGTTCCATGGGGATGTTTTTCAATAATCTGGGATTCACAGCCTCAACAAGTGTTGATCCTACAGGGAGGGCAGGAGGTATTTGGATTCTATGGGATACCCTAACAGTCAATGTCAGAGTGTCTCATGCAAACTATCAGGCTATTCATGCAACAGTTCACAAAGAAGACTATGAAGACTGGGTTTTATCAGCTGTCTATGCAAGCCCTTACTTGAGAAACAGGGACCAGCTTTGGGGTGATATGGAAGCAATGGCAGCGAACATGACAGCTCCTTGGCTAGTTGCGGGTGATTTTAATGACTTTGCTACTCAAGGCGAACGAAGAAGCTTCATACCTAACAGCAATGTGGGCAGAAATAACAAATTCTTGGAGCGGATTAGCAACTGTAACCTCATGGATTTGGGTTGTTCAGGCCCTAAACTTACATGGACGAATAACCACCAAGGAATGGCAAATACAAAGGAGCGGTTGGATCGTGCTCTTTGCAATTCTGCTTGGAGTTCTCTATTTCCTGGTTGCACTGTTCGAAATCTTCCACGAACCTACTCCGATCATTCTCCATTTGTCATCTTTACTGAAGGTATGCATCCTTTCACCCCCTTTAATAAAGTTTTCGTTTTGAAGCAGCTTGGATTACACACCCTGATTTCAGGAGTGTAGTCCAACAAGCTTGGAATAATTGTGATTCTCATTTACTTGATAAAGTCAATCACTTGATGTTAACTACTAATTTAAGAGGTTTTTGGGAACATTTTCGCCAAAAAACGTAGACTTCTTGCTCATATTGAAGGCATTCAAAAAGCCCAGGATGTTCGTTTCACCCCCAACATGTTTTTGCTGGAAAAAAGATCTGGTTAAAGAATATAATCAGGTGTTACACCAAGAAGAGATTTTATGGTTCCAAAAATCTAGAGTAAATTGGATTACTAAATGGGAGAGAAACACCAAGTTTTTTTCACACGGCTACCATTGCTAAAAGGAGGAAAATTAGGATCAATATGCTCATCCAAGATGATGGTACCTGGATTTCTGAGGTTTCGGAGCTTCAAGCACATGTTCAAGACTACTTTATGAATCTTTTTAAGGGTGATAACACTGCTACAACTCCTAGAACTGTTGTTTTGGGGGCTAAAATCAAGGAGGTGGACAATCAGTTTCTTTCATTACCTATTTCTAACAAAGAAGTCTGGGAAGCTGTTAAGAGTAGCAAGGCATACAAAGCCCCTGGTCCGGATGGCATCCAAGCTGTCTTCTACCAGAAATTTTGACACTTGGTAGGTACCTCTGTTTGTCAATTTGTGAAGAATTGTTTTGCTACTAACAAAGTCCCTGAGGAAGCAAATAAAACCCTCGTATCTCTTATTCCTAAGGTGGATAATCCTGATATTATTAAGAAATTCAGACCTATCAGCTTGTGCAATGTGAGCTACAAAATTGTCACTAAAATTTTGGTTAATAGGATCAGACCTCTTCTTGATAATCTTATCAGTCCCAATCAAAGTAGTTTTGTTCCAGGTAGATCAACAAATGATAACATCATTATTACCCAGGAGATTATCCATTCTCTCCGGCACAAGAAAGGGAAAATAGGTGGCATGGTGATTAAAATTGATATAGAAAAAGCCTATGACAGAATCTCTTGGGCTTTCATTCGACAAACCCTTTGTGATCTTAACCTTAATAGTGGTTGGGTTGAGCTGATTATGAGTTGTGTCACTTCTGTTAACACGGCTATACTTTGGAATGGTCAAGCACTCCCTGACTTTCCCATGGGCAGAGGCCTTAGGCCGGGAGACCCACTTTCCCCCTATATATTTATTCCCTGCATGGAAAAACTTTCTAGTATGATCAATAGCAAAGTTAATGGTGGTGATTGGAAAGGTATCAAAGCTACTCGGAACTGTCTTCCCATTTCACATTTATTCTTCGCCGATGATCTACTACTCTTTGCTAAAGCTGATACAACTAGTTGTGAGGTGATTTTGGATGTTCTTCATGAATTTTGTGAACTCTTGGGCCAGAAAATTAATCCCCATAAGTCCAAAATTTTTGTTTACCAAAGCTAGAGAACTCAGCAATATAAGTGGTTTCCCACTTACTCAAAACCTTGGTCGCTATCTTGGTACACCAATTCTTCATGGCAGAGCCAGCAAAAATTATTTCCAATTTATCATTGAGAAATTGCACAAGAAATTGTCTGGTTGGAAAGCTAGTGTCCTATCTATGGCAGGTCGAGCCACCTTCATTCAGTGTGTCACTTCAACAATGCCTTCTTATGTGATGTCCACAGCTAAACTTCCAAATAACATTTGTGCAGATATTGATAAAATCAACAGAAATTTTCTGTGGGGAGATCATGGTAATGTCAAGAAAGTTCATCTTGTCAACTGGGATCAAGTTTGCAAACCTAAAGACAAAGGGGGATTGGGTATCCGTAAGGCTAAAAATAAATCTAGCTCTTCTTTCCAAACTTGGGGGGAGCCTTTTATATGGAAATGATACACTTTGGACTGACATGCTTAAAAGTAAGTATTTACAAAATCACAGCCTGTTCACTTGGCCTACCAAGCAGAGTAGCTCACATATTTGGAGAAGTATTGTTCATTCTAAAGATGTTCTTAGGAAAGGTACTAAGTGGACCATTGGGGATGGAGCTATAGTGTCACTTTGGAAAGATTGGTGGTGTGGCAATCAACCTCTGGTAGACACTTCTCCTGGAAATCCCTGTGATGACACAACTATCAACGCCATTTTGATAGCAGCCTGAGTTGGAAACTTGGTAGCATTGAGAATTTTTTAACCCCTCAGGATATTACCAGCATTAAAAGTGTGTTCCCGCCTAGACTCACTAACTTACCTGATAAACCCTGCTGGGTAGGCACTTCCACTGGCTCTTTCACTTCTACCTCAACTTATGATTTAATCACTGAGGCTGGGAACCCTGAAGCAAGTTGGAAATGGATCTAGAAACTCAAGTTGGCCCAAAAACTTAAGGGGTTTTTCTGGCTCATTTTGCAAAATAAATTGCTTACAAATCAAATGAGGGTTGTTAGAAGACTCACGGAAAATGTTTTTTGTCCCCGTTGCAATATGCATTGCGAAGATCTACTCCATCTTTTTTGGGATTGTACTTATGCTAGGAACATTTGGAAGATTGTTAGAAATGATCAATGGCAAAGGGAGGCTGAATCTACTACCTTTGAGAATTGGATTGTATACAATCTTAAGGCTAACAAACAAGAATTTAGAGGCATCCCTTGGAAGACTTGGTTTGCTGCTCTATTATGGCAAATCTGGAAGGATAGAAATAATGAAGTGTTTGCCAATTTGGATGGTAATGCTTCTCATAGCATTTTCCAAGCCTTCCAATATGCCTCTAATATTCATGAAGCTTTTATGTCTCCCCTTGCCACTGATCGCCCTGCCCCCAAACTAATTGCTTGGTTTCCTCCTTATGCAGGTAAACTAAAATTAAATGCGGATGGCTGTGCTAAAGATGAACCAGGTCAAGCAGGCTGTGGTGGTCTGTTTCGAGATGAAAGAAGACAGTGAGTGTTAGGCTACACTGGAAAGCTGGAATCTGCTACTAGTCTAGAGGCAGAACTGTGGGCAATTCATCAAGGCCTCACCATTATTCTGGAGAAAGGTCGGAGAGACATCCAAGTAGAGACAGACTGTCAAGTGGCTGTGAACCAGATTTCCACCCCGGACGAACAACTTCAGCACTACCCATTTAGAGCTCTTCTCTTTGACATCAAGGCACTTCTCCAACGCACTGAATGTGCCATTGCACACATCTATCGTGAAGGGAACAAATGTGCTGATGAACTTGCCCGTTTAGAAGCTGCTCAAGCCGTGGACCTGGAGGTGTATGATGACCCTCCACAATCCCTTAGACCTTTACTTGTGGCTGATATGGTCGGTATCGTGTATGAGAGGGTCTAGCCCTCTTTAGCTCTTTGTTTGTTTTTGATCTTTCTGTTATCATTTCCGAACCATCTAAAAAAAAAATTATCAGAAAAAGCTTCTCAATATTGCTTCTTTTAAATCTGTTTCTCTTTTGTCCGAATGCAAAACTTTCTTAAAGAGTAGAAGCACCATAAGGTCAATGTGATAGAAATGCATCATTATTATGAAGAATTCTAATAATAGCATCACTTCACACCAAAATACCTTGGCAGCTCCAGTACTGCTAGGGATAATGTTAAAAGAGGCAGCTCTTTCACCTCTCAAGTCCTTCATTGATGGACCATCAACAGTCTTTTGTGTTGCTGAAAGGCATGAAATAATAAGATAAAAAAGTTCACTTTATCTCAAGAAAAAAGGACAATGAGTAGTACTCGCACGAGTAATTGAATGCACTGTGGTCATAAGGCCTTTGACAATGCCAAATTTGTCATTAATAACCTGTAGCAATTTATATGCAAGAAACGTAAGATAGGCATTCCAGTCCTTTGTTATGATATAAACTGAAACCAAGTACAAAGCAACATTCGCCAATGGAGCAAGACAGTTGGTAGTGCAACTAGCATTGGAAACAATATCAATATCTGATTTGTATTCCTTCTCATTGACACCCATAACAAATATTGGAGCATCCTTACTCGGAGCAGAAATGACAACCTTCTTTGCGCCACCCAGGTAATCAAACAAAAATTGGGGCAATACTGATTAACATCAACAAACCAACAAAATAAATAAATAAAATTTGAAAAATGACCCTCAACACTGTCCAACTGAGCATAATATGCAAAGAACATTCAGATTTATGTGCGGGAGATTGCACCAGAACAAGTATTATATGAAGCCATTACAAGATTAGATTATGAATATAATAATAATAACTAAGGTCAATGTAGCCAAACATGAAAACAAATTCAACGTGAAACACTTTCATGAAAAAGTTATTTATCAGACATCAATACAGATGAATTTCATCAACAATATCATTCAAGTATGTGTGCATGAGCCAAAATGCATATTAAGAGAGCAGCAAATTAAGGCAAACCTTCAAATGTGCAGCTTTGTCCTTGTCAGTAAAAACTCCCATGGACTCAACAACATATTCAGCTCCAACCTCACCCCACAGAACCTCCTCTGGGTTTCTAAATAACAAGCAAAGAAATTATAATCAATAATCAGAGGATGTGATCTTTAAAAAATTGAAATATAAAGATAGAGAACCAGTTTATACCTTGAACCAAAGACAGCAACAGGTTTGTCACCAAAGAGAAGGGTCTTGGAATCCTTAACCTTAAGCTCATTCTTTTTCGATTGGTTGTGAACACTATCATATTTAAACATGTAGGTCCGTACAGCACAAAATCTAAATCAAGTTAACAAAAGATGGATATCCAATAATTGATTTCATGGCCTAATGGTGACTTGGGGCCACTGAAATGGTTACAATTCTTTGTCCATGATAAAAAGAGAGAAAACTAAATAAATAAATAATTATGCATATTATATAGCTATGTGGAAATTAAAAGCTAGAGCAAAACAATTCATCTAGATAGTTTAATGCTAATTTGCTTAGGAAATTTTTTATGCATATTATATAGCTATGTGGAAATTAAAAGCTAGAGCAAAACAATTCATCTAGATAGTTTAATGCTAATTTGCTTAGGAAATTTTTTATGCATATTATATAGCTATGTGGAAATTAAAAGCTAGAGCAAAACAATTCATCTAGATAGTTTAATGCTAATTTGCTTAGGAAATTTTTTATGCATATTATATAGCTATGTGGAAATTAAAAGCTAGAGCAAAACAATTCATCTAGATAGTTCAATGCTAATTTGCTTAGGAATTTTCTTTGTCACGAAGTTTCTTCAAAACTCAAACAAAGGCAACCTCACACATTCTATTTCTATATACATGTGCTTATTATGTATGTGGCATGAATTCTATTTGACTCTTCAATTTTGCATGATTAAAGTTCTCTCACAACATTTGATTAGACAAAAGCACATCCTAGGACGAAACTAAAAATTTCCAACAACACATTGCGTGGTTGGGCTAGTTCCATGAATTTACATATGCAAACATTATATATAGACATGAAATATACTCCATCCAAGCAAATAACATGAATACAACAAAATCACAGAAATTCTGAAACGAATACATAGTTTCAGATTACAAACATATCGTACTAATACACATCTCCAAAATAAGAATCATTGATCACATAAATCTATGATGATTAGTTCAGATCGAAACAACAATAGATCAGAAATTTGAAAGGCGACTGATTGATGCGTTTCTTACACTAAATGCCGATCAAAATTTTAAAAAAAGAAAAAATAGCGAACAACGAGACATTCAGCGATCCATATAATCATGATGGGTATCATCATCAATAATGTGAGAGAAATGGTGATTTTTACCATGTAATCAGTAGTAATGAAAGGATCGTTAACGGCGACGAGTTCAACATCGTCGCTCTGAAGAGCGACTCTCGCCACCAAACGGCCAATCCTTCTGAATCCTGAAACAACACAACACAACACAAATAACTTCAGATCAAAATCGTATTGTGTTATGCCTAATGATTGAATGAAAATGTGATGAACAGATCAGATCACTTACTGTTGATTCCAATCTTTATTTTGCCCATGGTCTTCGCAAAAAAATTCTAAATGGATAAATCTTGATTTTAGATATTTAGGTAGATAGATCATTGGTAGTCCCAAACCCTTGAAAGGGATCAAAATTCCTTGAAAAGGCCTTGGAGCAAAAAATCAAACATAGGTGTCCATCTTCTCGACTACTCCCAAACAAAAAAGTGAAACATCATAAAATTACAAAAGCTTAGTTTACTGCATTAAACAAGCCAATAGACAGTTTTGCAAATTATGCAAAAGAGCTTTCCAATAATAATGGAAAAACTTCGCTTAGCATCACTGTTAAGTTTGTGTTTGTTTCTCCAATCTGGAATTGAGGAATATTGCAAACTTTGATATGTTAAAATGCTTTCTATAACGATACACCAACAACCTTTCCCCACCCCCTCACCCTGACGTTTCCAACCGTTTAATCAAATGTATCTAAAATGTAGGTTCCAGAAGAGTGGGTGAAGATTATCAATTAATTATTGAAAACTTGATTTTGTAGTAATGTCAAAACTGGTCCAATAGGAATATGAGATGTGTCTAAATAGGGTGTTACCAACAGCCATCACATTTCTAAACAGACAGTCAGCAAATTTTCACATACAGATGCAACAATGTAGGCCTCGTTTGGGAAGTGGCTATTTTAGTAGGCTATTTGGCTATTTTAGTAGGTTATTTTAGTTTTGTGTTTAGGAAGATGAGATGAATTTTTAGTTGAGTTGTTGTATTGAAAAGTGTGTTTAAATGATGTTTAAATTTAAAATGACAGATTTATCCCTAACTTTTTATTTTTAAAATTGATATAAAGGGGCAAAATGGTTGGTAATTTTGCCCTTGATGTAACACTGTCCGGCTGTGACAGTGTAGACTGTGCCTACACTGTCCGGGCAGCAGCCTATTTTTTTTTTTTTTTTTTTTTTTAAATCAGAATTTTTTTTTTTTTTGAAAATCAGAAAAAAAGGTGCTACAGTGCTGGCTTTTGGGCTAATTTTCCAAAAGAGGCTATAATAGCCTAAACCTCTCATTGCCAAACACCCCCGTAATCAGAGATGGCCACAAGAATGTTGCCTGCCAAATGTTGAACACATTGACTCTTAATTAGTAGCAGAAGTATCTGTAAGGAAACATCAAGAACTACTTCACCTAGAGGCGTCTCTCAAGTTTGCCGAAATTAACAGAATCATCAAATCTTAGAATCATCAAATCTCAGCACCAAAATTAATACTACATTTCAAATCTCAGCACCAAAATTACAGAATAACAACTAGTAGTATTCGAACCAGCACATCATAAATCATCAAATCAACACCAAAATTAACAAAATCATCAAATCACAGCACCAAAATTAATACTACATTTCAGCGATCGTGTATTCGAACCAGCACATCATAAAATCAGCACAACTATACGGGGAGCAAATATTCAGGCAAGCCCGTACTCCTTTCTTCCAAGCACCTGTCTGTCCGATCGACCTGCGAGCACAACGGCGGTGAGCTACCCGGCGGTGTGTGGCCGGAAAACTCCTCCGACGATCAAGTTAGCGCACACACACAGAGATAGATAGAGAGGAGAGAGTTGAGTGTAAGTGTATATCTCACCAAATGTTCATCCGTCTAGGCATGGGGGGCGCAGACTCGCTTATATACCTTCTGCGCCCCAAATCTACTCCCATTAGTCTCTCGACACGTGGTGCTGCTATCCCATCTGTCAGCACAAATCTAACTGATCATCCTAACCAAACTGCCAGCCCACACTACCGGGATCTCTGCAACCGGGCTGCATCATCTCAGCTTCCAACGGCCGTGTCGCACAACAAGCTAGAGTGCTCCGCTTGCCGAGCTCAACGACGACCGAACTCGGTTGCATTCCGGCATAGCCGAGCTGAAACTGGTCGAGCTGATAAACCGAAGACCTTTCCAGCCGAGCTGGAAGCGCGAACCATGGGAACAGGACCGGCTTGCATTATCTCGGCCAAATTACCCAATTAGCTCGGTTCCCACGCAAACAAGCCAAGTAGCTTGGTCCTAGCATGGTCCTGGGCCATTACCGAGCACAACCCTCTCCGGCTAAGCCCAAGCTATCACGGCCCACAACATGTTCGGCCCATAATCTGCCCAGTCATTACCACGGCTCAATCCAGCTCATAAATTTCCCTCTCAATTGCCCCTTAATTCCGTCCGCGCAAGCGTGACTGGGATTACCTGTTCTGACCGGGGTAACTCTTCCTCGGTCCAGAGCTTGCAAGACGGTGACCGGGCTACCTGACATGCATGTCTTCAAAACTTGCCCGGTCGACGCCTCAATTTGCCATCCTGTCTCCGCCTCAATTTGCCATCCTGTCTCTTCAGTACTGACGCCGCCGTCAATAGGGACACGTGTCGTGCCTGGATTGGCCTCGAGCAGCCAACCATCACGTCCCTTCATATTCAAATTTTGGCGGCCTTTTCACCTCTATAAACATGCTACATCCTCCTTCATTCTCCTCTTTACTGACCTTCCTTCCTCCTCGTCGATCCAGAGCTCCTGTGCCCATCCTTCCTTGCCATTCCTGAGTTTGTGTCCGAAGGAGAAGCTTCTGCCCTTAACTAGTAAGTCTTTCGGGCCCTTTTTTGCTATTTTGACTTGGTATTTCACATTCTAGGGCACAAAATCCGTAGGTTTTAGGATATACCCCTCACTTGCCCCTATTCTCTTCGCTGTTCTTCAATCCCAGTGACGAACACATGAACACATGAAGATCTGGAGCGGACCGGGCTCCAGGTCTTCTTTTGATCCCAAAAAACAATGAGACTGAGCAACTTACAAGTTTGCCAAAACCTTAGTAGAAACCGAGGTAGACAAGGGACTAGGCCACTCGACCGGGCTAACAACTGGTCCGTTTGAGCAACCGAGCTACTTGGTTTACCTTTGCGTCTGAGGTGGTCTGGCACTCTTCATGACCGAGCTAAAGTCAAGCTCGTTTTGCGCGACCGCGCTTTCACTTACACTTGCCATCCTTTTCTTGCTGAGTCTAAGGGGACCACAGACCAAATACTGAGGCTCTCAAAGACCGAGCAGCCATCAAACACCAGTCTGTGCCAAACCACCTCAACCGAGCTAAACTAGCCGGCGACACATGGGGCACTACCGCTTCCTTGTTGACACTCCGGCCGCCTTGGCCGTATTCCGGGAAGAGTATGGTATCCTGGTTGACGTTTAATTAGAGCTCGGCGCCTTACACATCAACCCTTGGGGTAGATTAGACCAATGCCCCTTCACCGTGCTATCCATCATTGAAAGAGGCCTCCGCTTCCCGGTCAACCCATTGATGACCGAGTTCTTGCGTCGCACCGAGCTAGCACCCACACAAGTCTCAACAAACACATACCGAATAATCAACGGGATTCAC